CAAACGGACTACTTCGCGTAGTGGTTCATGTGCAGAAGCTCCGCCTCCATAGCTTTGCGTTCAGTGCCAAGAAAAGTTGTCACCCAGTATAAAACCATGGAGTTTCCATAGAACTTCTGGAGTGGCAGTCCCGGCCGCTGCCAACAGGAGCAAGTGGAGCCGCCGGTGGCCATATTGCCGGAGCAAAATCAGGGTGGAACCGCCATAGACCGCAATGGAATAGGCGTGGTACGCACGTAGGTTTGCAGTTCTACGATAAAAAAAAGGAGATGGAAATCACTGTTAGGTTACACCAACGAATTAATGCCTCTTCTTCTTTATGTAACAAATTATTTCATGCACCCATTGTCAGCTGCATGCTTTCAAATCAATCTGTTGTCGAGGGATGATTCACATATCTAGCTTGCCGGTGCACTATTGCGGTACGAAAGGGTTGTAGTATATACTGGGTGTTTCAAGAATTCTGCCTGCAGATACTCAAGATCAAGGGGAACGTGACATTTGCTCGCCTCTCTCAGATATGTGCTTGTGTGGGTATCGGCAGATTACCAGAGAATATATATAAGGAAGCTGGAATTATTACAGTTAAAATTAGAAAGAAGAGGTAAATAATAAGTAAAATGGGAGTCACCAGTAATTTTTTTGAGTTACCGAGTTCTGACCACTTTACAGGCAGAACCAAAACCGAAGCACCGATGTCGCGTGCAACCGACAAACTCGAGGAGACGTACCCCAAGAACCGTTTATAAGAACGATTGTAGCGGCGCTAGTTATGCATAATATCTATCAACTTCCATTGGCGACGTGTGTTGTCATGGCAAGCGCAGCCTTCAGAGCCTGCAAACGAGGCAGCTCAATGTTTGATATAACGCCACTCACTCATTTTGGCAACTTCGTCTATCGGCGTATTGGTTTCGATTTCATCGGCAAGATCGAAAAAAAAGGTTTCTCATCTTGGCTTAGACACAATCGCTTATTTTTGTGACTACATTCTATTGAAGCTACGTGAAGGAGGTAGAAACTAACAGATTTTTGCAGATGCACTCGGAAAGCAGCAAAAATCGAAGGTGCATTACCAGGCCGCAGTCTGCCCTGTTCTGTCGAAGCTGCATTCTTCTAAGTGAATAGAACAGAGGTGGTCACCGTCCGTAGCCCTCCAACTATTTCTTCGAACAGCACGTTCCCAGGCAAAACGCAGCGCACTCTTTCGGAAACCTGTAACACTGTTAATCACAGCATACAATTATTCTCTACGTTTGTGAATTCCTCGTTAAACATGCACCAATTTCTATATTCGCGTGCCAAAAAATGCATGCACGCCGCCAGTCTTGCCTAGTAAGACAACACCAGAAAACTTGGAATTAAAAGGGCATTCAGACGTCCTATACTCGTTCCAATGTTTGATACGTACAGCCGTAGGCCGAAAGTGCTTCGTCCATATACTTAAAACCCATGAACAACGTCGTGTCAGCGAGCATTTAAAGCTCCAAGTTACCTTCCATACTGCTACACGCATGCGCACCTTTCGTATTGTTTGTAATTTAACACCACACGCGAAAAAACGGGTGATCGTCAGCGAACGAAACGAGAATACTTACACGTGAAAAGTGTTCGCAGGCGTCTTCTTGATGCGAGTTGTTTAGCCATAAGCGACGGACGAAGTCACTGTGGGCTTGAAATATTTAACTGCTTTACAAAAGCATGTCACAGTCTCCAAAGGCCACTGCGAGGGCGGAGCTGTGATGCGTACTTTGTCGTCTGCTTCTGAGTCTTTCCTTTTCCAATATCGCGTGACTGGCGTGACTTATTGGGGCGCACCTCCACTTCAGAAGACATTGTATAAAAAATGTGGCTTTTAAGCCAGCTGCCTGCTTCCTAGTCACGCCAGTCCGACCAATGTTGACAGACTTGATGCTGAATCCTCTCAATCGAAAGCAGACGACCGTCAAACGAAGGGATCGAAACAGCGGCGACACATTTCCATCCCTGCCGCGAGCGGAGGAGAGCGGACAAGAATGGCACGCTTCGATGACGCGCACGTCACGTGATGCACCGTCGGCTGCGAAAATTCCTCCTGCATTTTCTCGTGCGAATTCATCTTAAGTGTTTACTGCACCTGAACGGAGCAATTGTGCGGTACATCCAGAGCATTTGTCACTGCTTTTTTACACAGGCCAGTCGGAGTAATGGCGTGGCGCCACCAGAGCGTTTTTTACCGGTCTTCTGCTCCGGCTGGCTGGATTGATTACGTGGAGCCTCCGGAGCATTTCTCGCAGGTTTTTCACTACCGCGTTCCGGAGCTTTTGCGGGGCACTTCCGAGTATTTTACGAACAATTTTACTTTGTTCGGACAGAATTTTAGTAAGATGTATCATGATTTTGTTCAAAGTGTTTGCTCTTCTATTTCTTTATTCTATGCCGATCGTGTCACGCGTTGGTTTTATGAAGGAATTCTCCATTCTGATACAAGCACTGTGGAGATACTGTGTATTTGTTTTTTCCACCAAGCTCTAGCAAATGAAATTCAAGAAAACACTTGAGTTCTTATTCTTTCATTTATTCAAAATAAGCTGCCATTTCTGGTTTGTTGCAAATCATTTGGGAAAACAGAGAAAGAAGAAACAAACATGAAAAAGCCACCAAAAATAAAAGAAGACTGATAACTTGAAATCAACATCCATCAAGTTTGAAGCACAGGGCTTCAAAAAAAAGCCCAGAATATCTAACAATATGCACGACAAACGAAGAAAGTGTGGCCATAGAGAACACTCTTCACAATCCCCGAAAAACCATTTATCAGCTTATGAGCTTCATGGTTCAGCTGATTGCTTTTTGGATATTTGAGCAAAAAAAAAATGTTGACATATGGGAACTGCGAATCATGTGATCGGCACAAAATCTGAGGACAACTGAAGCCACGGGTACTGGTTAAATTCTGCACAGCCTTCGAGTACACAGGAATAACTAGCCTCGTAAACCAACCACACAAACACAAAAACACGGGAATAGTGCTCAATATCAGGAAGTCAGTTCTATCTACTCCTGTGTCAGACAGCCGATAAGCCATAAAAACACACTTCCGTGGCACGAAGTTAAAAACAGATGAAAGTTCCCCTTATATTTCTGAATAGATAGCCTTACTCTTCCTAAACATTCTAAAGCATTCTTTTCACTTAAATGAGTGAATTTTGGTACTCTCGAAGACAACAGGAATGCCTCTCCAGGTCATTTTCTAATTTCATCAGATGTTATTGCTGTTATTACACGCTCATTCTAGTTGGCGCTCATCGTCATACTCCAAGCAAATGAGTCTCTTACAGTTTGTATGTTTGCGCCCTGTCTTGAAAAAAGCGCACCTTCATTCTGCTTTGCAAGAGAAATTGGCACTGTATTTTTCTTTTTGTAATTAGGACTGTGCACTCTGTTTTGCTACTTGTCATAGTGAATAACTTTCAAAGTAGAATTATTGAATGAGAATGTATCGCTTCAATACGAAAAACCTAAAAAAAATAAAGAAAAGCTCACGACTACGATACAAAATAAGTCAGCAATTAAAGGTCCTAACGTCACGCCTATGTCCACTGCATTTTTATCATATACTGGCAGAAAAGAGGCAAGGTGGACTAGCTTACCCAGCTTACATGTCAGTGCAAACGTCGGAGGTCATGGATGGTGGTTCATAGATGCGTCACGACGAATTCACCGGAATTCTAGGAGTTCTCTTTCCCCCTGTCCTGTTGACAGGTTAGCTTCTGGTATTCGAGCCTTGTTCGGAAGAAAGAGATAATAACAAGCGTTTTCTTTTTCCGAGAGAAGGTGGAATGGACAGCGAACCTTTTGAGTTTTACCTGTTTGGTCGAAAAAACTTGACTCCCCCCCCTAAAAAAACTGCATTCACAGCCAAGCCAGTGGAATAGAAAAGAAAAAAAAATTCATGCAGTATGGCATTGCTCCCTCGCATGATGAACACAGAAATTACGGCTAGTTTGTCAAGACGGCGTCTTGTCTTGTGTCTCTTACACTCATAACCATGCCCCTCCGTCCTACGTTTTGAGCAGCGCGGTCAAACGGACTGCAGAAATAAGTCTTCACCCCCCCCCCCCTCCTGCCCTCTTCCACAGAAACGTCGGGCGTCCCACAACCCTTGTGGACGGCGTTTAGCGCGAAATATAGAAAAACAAAACGCTCAGGTTGTGCCTGTCTTCGCTCTTTACCTTCTTGTACTTTTTTTTGAGCGAAACTTCATCTACAATGAAATACCAACTCGCACAATGCTCGGTTCTTTGAAGCTCTACAACCTGTATCGCCTAGTGACCCGACCATTCCTTCTTTTAATTTAACGTCAAGCCCTGCATAACACGACTACTGTTGGTTTGAAATTTGTCAAACGTGCCCTGTTTACTGTGGGAGAATTTAAATCACCAATCAAAAGAAATTCACCGCTCTGGTATCTAGAAATATGTACATTTAGTTTCAGTAGGCCTTCAAAAGGTCAGTCAGCCAGTTTGCATGGGATTATTCAGTTGCCCAGCAAAGCCGTTTTACTGCTGATACATCTATGCCCCGACAAGTTCTAACGAAGATATTTAAAAATAGATACATTCATATTTCGGAAACTCCTCCAGCAAGACAGCGTCCAATTTACGTTGGATCTGAACGGCCGCACGAACTCCTCTTGATTGCCCGACCATACAGACAGCCGTAAAGGAAGGCGGGAAAATGTAGTCATTGTTAATTCATTCATATATCTTCGTCTATGCTCTAACGGTAATATCAGGAATATACCACAGCAATTGCACGTGAATGTGCTCACTTTAATTGATAACAATGTGGTAATCTAAACTCAGACTACCAATGCATCAACAGCGTCTTCAGGGAAATCTCGCGCAGTACCTTACTTATTGCATGTTATAGAATTGGTGGTATCCTTGAGTCAATAGATAAGAGTTTATCGAATTGTAGGTGGTGAAAAACATGAAACTTTTTTTTTGCACTTGCAGCTCGGATCTCTGGTACAGCTACCCAAGAAGACGACAACGGTACATGCCATCCATTCTGCCTTTTTTATGTGTCCTGTTTGTCCCGAATGCCATGCGCGGACATCTTTACTTATATTATTTCATCCTTTGGGTTTCTATTTCCAGCACAAGTTGCTGGCATTATTAACTTTATAGACCGTTTTGCTGTTTTCGAACAAGGGTGATCGAAGCCTTCCGGTTTCGTGCATCAATGTAGCCTAGATGCTTAGGCAGGGAACTACCGCTTTAGTGAGTAGCCAGCTCATTTTGTACGCTTTTATTCCTTCTGTCTGGTCAAATATTTCAATTACGTTTTTTTTCTAAGCTACACACAGCATTAAAGAAGTTAGTCATTAACATAAAGAGTCTTTCTTTATCGGAAAGTGGAAGAAAAGATAATTGTTACCCTTGCGCAACTAAAAAAAGAACAATTTTTCTGCTTCAACATTAGAAAGTGATAATGGAAGTGACCGGGAGTTTCTTGGGAAGCAACACGTGCTGCTGCTGTTTCTATGTTCACACCGATAAAAACGTGTGTAATATTTCTCGCGCATTTATACTTCTAACATTCCACTGGAATTTATACTGACACAGCGTCACCGTGTAGATATGCAACCTGTTTTCTGCCATGGCAAAAAAAAAACACAAGAAACACTCACAGTGCGATAAATGAACATGTTTCATAGCTAAACGTTTTATGGTACTTCTGGTCAAAATATTTTACGGCCTACGAAAGCTTTGGGAAGAACGCAGATTGTTTAGTCAGACGTGCGAAGTGATGTTTTTCGGCAGGAATGGTGCAATGTTTATAATGCGATATGAAATTACAAATTTATCAACAAGCAACTTGCTGGCGTCTTAACAGCATGGATTTCATTAGAGCTTATCTTGTACAACACAATTACTTGAATTTCGCTATGACTTAGATCTGAAGTAGAAAATATTGAGCAAATAGATTGCTTTTTCTTGGACTTTCAAGAAGCTTTGGACATTGTATCGCACTCTTTTCTCTTAAGTAAACTTTCAGCCCTAAACACTGGCCGCAAAGTTCTGGTGTGAATTGAAAATTATACCTTAGTCCAGCGACAGTGTGTAATAATAGATTGCAGAAAATAAAGTTTTGTAAACACCTTCTAAATGGCGCAAACATTCGAGAGAAATCTGTCTGGTCGGGTATGAAACTGGGAGATGATTTAAATTCCAACCAAAAGTTTTGAATAAACCCGACGTTTCAAAACCGACTAGGTTCTTTTCTGAGGGGTGACCGCGGGACTACGTAGCAGCGGCGTCTTCAAAGCACTCGCGGTGCGGATAATGACCCTCTCTCTCTTTCTCTCTCTCGATTCGCTGTGGTGCGCAGTTCATGTGTATACACTGGGGAAGGGTTCCGAGAGAGCGGTTGATGTTAGTGGCTGTCCTCTCTATGTGCCACGACTAATAGGGAGTTTTAGTGCTGGGCACCCAAGCGGCTTGCGTACCCAGGACGTTGGGGCGGTGGTATTGCGCATGTGCGAAACCCCAAACAGATGCGTCGCAAGATCAATGGGGCGATGCGTCCGTGTGGTCATAAACAACGCTGCCACCACTGGCCTCCTAGCGGAGATAAGCTGTCCTGGCGTTTCATGTTACCCGTCATGTTACTCACCTTCACGGCGAGCAAAGCCTAGGTTTACCAGCGCCACCACTTTCACTTATAAGTTTTAAGCACAAATATCATAGTGGATAGCCACTATACATATATTATGGCACAAAGACACCAAATGTCGGACAGCATGAATCGGCCGCCTTGTAAAGTCCACCTTCGCAGGAACTCACGGTATCCGCATTGCGCATACTCTAGCCGTCTAGTTAAAATAGGCCAAAGTGTGAGCACCAATAGCGGTCAGAATGTTTCAACCAGATTACCAAAGCTAGAATGGCCTGGAACATAAAAACTAAAAATATGTCAATCCTCCGACCAGCTGAATAGGTGGCGACATCTACCGCGGCCGTGGTGAACCAGACAATCACAACATTGTTATCGCAATAACATTGTGCATTGTACGTCTGGTGCGAAAACCGCGCAGTGGCGTTATTACACATTAGTACCCTTTTTAATCATTTCCACCTCAAAAACATTACGCGTAAGCCAACATTTTCATGGCTGTGGTTGCACGAAGTGTCACAAGATGTCGACAATATCGTTACAGCATTGTATTTTTCACTTTTTTGCGATAAAAAAGTCTCGTGATTTTGCCGCAACGGTGATTCATTCCTATGTAAGTTAAATGAAGTTTAAATGCAGCTAGCATCACCATTTATGGTTTGCGAAAACGTGAAGGCATACATATTTACATATGATGAGCTCAAAACGTTGGTAGAGGCACGTTCCGGTAGGACGGTAAATGCGAACTGGTATCCTAACACGTTAACGTAAAGAAGTTTATGTACAAGCTAAAAGTTACACAGAGTTACACGTTACACCGTTGCTCGACTACGACCGGCCGTCTGGGTTGCTTGGCTTCGACGGTGCCGGCTTCAGTTGCAATTGTGGCGCATACGAAAAAGTTTGTTTTTGTTCCATGTTGATAATTGCCATTTATTTAAAATAATTTATTGAAGTTAGTTTACTTTATGTCACTGTGTAAGTTTAATTTAACATTTTAAACCTTAAGCATAATTAAATAATACTTACGCGACAATTAAGCAGCTATGGCGCTGCGAGTGCGTAGGACCTTCTTGCGGCTTGCTTTTGCGTGCGCGCCTCTATAAGGCATTCCAGTTGGGTATGGGTTGGGTACGCAACGCCACGCGCCTTGAAGCCCGCAAGGCCCCAAGAGTTTGCGTACCCAGCACTAAAACTCTTGAATAACCTTCTTCTGCAGTTCGGCTCGCTTTCAAGGATGGCCGTTGCCTCGAAATTTATCTGGTGGTTCAACGTTTCAGCATGTTCGGCGACAGCGCTGCGCTCTTTGAAGAGCTTCCGCACATTGTTGGCGTGTTGCTTCAGTCGTTCCGGTAGGTTTTTCGTCTCGCCGATATACGAAGAAGGGAACTCGGCGCACGGATTTTTGTAAACGACACCGGGGCTCCTGTCTATTGTTGGCCGGTTTTTCAGGCGGGGGAGGAGGTGGCCTAGCGTACACGAAGTCGCGTGCGCGATGCGAACCCTTTCCTTCTTGAAGATCCGCGCCAACATCTCGCTGGTTCCCTGAACGTATGGGATCAGTTTACGTTTCGGGGGGCTGTCAATTAAGGTTGATTAGGGTTTTCGTATCCTCTGTTGCTCTGCGCAGCAGGTGGCGGCTCGAATGAAGTTTTTTGGGCATCCGTTTTTTCTGAGGTCCGCAATTACGCGGCTCTTTTCTTTCTTTCGCTCCGCGTCATTGGAGCATAAGTTTCTAGCTCTCTGTAGTAGCGTGGTCACAACTGAAGCCTTGTGGCAGGCGGGGTGGGAAGAATCAAATTGAAGGTAGCGGCCAGTGTGCGTTCGCTTCTTGTGAACGGAGAACTCCAGGCCATTGGGATTTCTTGCCTCCTGGACGTCAAGAAAAGGCAGGCAGCGGTCGCTTTCTCACTCGGTCGTGAGCTGGGTGCACGGAATTTAGGTGCAGTCTGAATTTATCACTACAGACGTCTTCATGACACACAAGCAATTGTCGATATAACGGAGAAAAAGTTTGGGTAGCGGCGAGAAGGAACTGAGTGATTTCTCTTCTATGTACTTCAAGGTCGGGTTTGCCATCGTGACGAAGATTGAAGCTCCCATCGCGGTTCTACTGTTCTGTCTGAAAATAGTTCTTCTGTAGGAGAAGTACGTACTGGACAGGGAGGACTCCAGTAGACGGCAGAGCTCGTCAATCGCCAAAGAAATCTTTTCACTCAGGCTTGCGACCCCTCAAGCGCAGAATGGGCAGAGGAGACAGCTAAGGGCACTAGCACATTGGTGAACAATAAAACGATGTCAAACCCAGTGTCGTTTACAAAATTCCGTGCGCCAAGTGCCCTTCTTTGTATGACGGGAGACACGTGGTGCGATTTGGTATCCGGTGCGGCACGCGCCGCCGCACGCCGCGTACGACGGTTCCCGACACAAGGGGCGAACAGCCATCAGCGCTCAGGCTACATCAACATTAGGCCCCTCAGCTTGCACGCTCGGACGACATCGTATCCTGTTTATTAAGCGCAAACTAAAAAAGCTCACAAAGCCACGCCTTGTTGTCTAAGAACATTGCCAACAAAGCTATGCCTTCGCAAGGGACAAGCATCTACACAGCCTACATACTTTATCGACTCCGAGCGTGGGCCTAGCAAGGCAGATGTTCTCGGTAGCACCGCTCTTTTTCCAACGTGAGCTCATTCTCGAGCGCTTCTTTTTATCAACACGATAAAAACTCGTACATTTATATGACGCTTTCACCCGTGCAACTGGATAATTGAAAAGCAAAGGTGAGAAGGAAGTGGGCCGGTTTGCCGAGACCGTCGGTACCACTGTTTGTCTACCTGCAAAATGGGCTTCCATGACGACTCGACATCTTGTCGTTGGTTCAGAAACTAGCGTTAGCTTGCAAAAATAGCATGCTTCAAGCATCACTTGATTCCATCATGAGTCATTTCACGTCAGAAACAGTCTATCTAATGTTTTTGTTGCCACTGGCAACGATGATATCCAAAAATACGAAGGCGATCGGAGCGGCGAGGCAGAAACTTCCGACGGCACCTACCTGTGGCACCCCTTGTCACGATGCGGTGCTGCCATTGGCTGCGGCCGCCAAAGTGCCGCGGCTGCCGTGCGGCTACATTCAGTGTGTTGGATGCACGCGCGGCGTGCGAAGCGTCGCCGCATGCTGTTTGACGCCCGTTGGATGTGACTGTTAGCACAAACAGCCGTACAGCGAATTGCATCCGAATTCTCACCATGTGTCTCCCGATTTTATTGGCGAGACGAAAAACCTACCGGAACGACTGAGGCAACACGCCAACGATGTGCGGAAGCTCTACAAAGAGCGCAGCGCAGTCGCCGAACATGCTGAGACGTTGGA